TCGTCTATATCTCTTGGGGGACTCTCCACTTGTCCCTATCTCCTTTCATTGGGCTTTTCTTTTAAGCCAGTATGACCCCAAAATGCACCAACCATTCCTAACATTATGTGGACCATGGCTCACTACTCCCATTATCCTTTCTGGGTCTTCTCAGGAGGAGTTTATTTCCCAGAGACGCTCTCCCTGTGGGCAGACTATCTGCACATCCTCATTACCTGTCATTTACCTTTTTAAATATTTTTTTGTTTATCAAGCATCTCATGTTGACCTTGTTTGCATACCAACCTAACATGGAGAGTTTATTAGAATTTGTTTCCCAGGGAAGGATCTTTCCCTTGGGGATGGCCCTCATCTGCCTACCTCTTTAATACCATACATGTTTCTCTGTGCTTTTACACCACAGGTCACACCTACACATTCAAACACTGATGTAGAGGCTGCTGTGTAAAGAGTCCATCAGAATTAACCACTCCATTCATACACATGCATACACTGTTGACAAAGCAGAGGGAGCAACTTGGGTTAAGTGTCTTGCCCGAGAACACATCGGACATGTGGCTGCAGAGCTGGGATCGAACCCCAGACCTTCAGGTTGAGACAACTGACTCTACCAACTGATCCACTATATTGTACAATATTGACTGATTTCAGGAATAAAATCTTCATCATTACAAATAATGAAAGCTGAACTTTGAGATACAAACAGTAGTGATGCAATGTGTTGCTGCAGCCACTAGAGGCAGCAGCTTTCATCTTACAGACAGGAGTACAGTCATGTTCACTGTATGAGCTGATAATATAGGAAACATCATCAGTAATAGTTTATCATATAACGATCAATATGTATGACTGTGGTTGTGTCCTGAAAAAAGTTTTTCATGACAGAACAAACGTGTGTAATGTTGCCAGTTTGTTAGTTTGATCAAACTTTGTTGATTTTGATCTTTTTTTAAAAACTTTTAACTAATGTAAAGTGTCTGTAAGTACTTGAAATATCTTTATAAATGAAATGTATTATCATTATTTCTTAATTAACAAGCCAATGAATTAGTTAATGACCCAACAAATGAATATATACATTTTAGCTGCCGACACATTATCACTCAGGTGCGTCTCTTTTACTGAATAAATATACACAAACTGGGAGAACGTTGCCTCAAGGTGGGTCGACACTGTTGGTCTTCGGTTCATGTGAAGGGAAGGTTTTTTATGTAACAATACAAAAGACAATAAAGTACAGAGTGTGAGAACAGTTCATCAGTGTGTGCAGCAGCAGATATGAATCTGTGGTTATTAGGGTTTAGAAAAACAGTTTACAGCAAATCAACACTTCCTCCCCTGCAGCAGGCAGGCTGTGTGGGTTTCCTGCTCTGCTGCCTCTTCTCTGTTAGCTAAGGGTTTTCAGTTTAATCACACAGCGACAGTTACGACCATCAACTCTGGTTAAAGCATCATTCCAGGAACTTCTCAATATCAGCTTTCTGTCTAACTCTGTTTTATTATTTAACCTGATTGCAGAGAAAAAATAAATAATATATACTTGTATGAAAAGTTAGACAAGGACAAGTAAACATGAAGCTATAATATACAAACTTATTTAACGCTACAAAGTCAATTTACTCATGACCAAAGACGCTGATCGTGTTTTTACATATTTATTGTGAAGCTAACTGAAATCCTTAAAAGCACAGACTTTTATTTAAAAAGAAAAACAAAACACTTACAGCTCCTTTCATACACCAAAGACACATCTTTTACTCTTTTATTTGATTTAGCTTTATATTTATGCTGGTATGTAACAGTATTTCTACACTTCTTGACAGTAGCAGTACTGCTGTTCATGTGAGTTTTATAAACAATAATGCACCAATAACACCAAGACAAATTCCTTCTGTATTTGATACAATCTGATAGACGTTTGTGTTATATATGTAACATTAAGTGGGGTACACACAACAAGATAATCGGGCCGATTTTGGGGCCGATGCTCCACGTCTGACCAAATTCAGCAAAAGCCTGATTATCTGACGGTTCCAAAGATTATCTCACCAGATGTTCCTGTGGTGTAAAGTGTGTAATTTTAACCTCGGTGCCCCAACTTTAAATTGTCAGACATCCTGTTGTGTGGGGAGAACACCGAGGACGGCCGAGCATGGACTCTGTGAATTGTCACTTTGAACAGAATAGCCAATCTTACTGTGCAAGATCACGAGTTCTGAGAGTGGAGACTGTTGTTGAATTAATCTGTGAGTGTGATAGCTGAGTCGGTCATCACGTTGCTCTCCACACACACTAAAAGAACTGAACTGGTAAATCTTTCATTACTTGTTGTCATGTGTGGGCTCTCACATTAGCCAGGCCTTACTTGGCAATAAAAGTTATTCTGATTCAATTTCTGATTGTACATGCCCCCACGCCTGGTGATGTACTTTTAAATAATCTGCTTGAATCATTTTTATTTTTGTTATATATGTGTGAACTACAGGAGTAAGAAGATAAACCCATAAGATTGAGGTATTAGACTTCTTAGACAACATTTTGGACTGCTGATAAAAGCTGTAAATGGAATAAATTGATAATGGTAGCCCACCCTGCAGTACGTTCATTTATGTACAAAAAACACAGTGTCATCAGCATAGAGCTTTACTTTTTCACAAACAACTTCTTTCATAAAAACTACAAAACACTACGGCACGCAACATCAGAAGACAATCAGTCAGCACATGTTCAGTGGATGAACGGTTTGTCGTTTCTGAAGATCCTCAGCAGAGAGAGTCCACAGCAGTACACCAGACTCTTCAGTATCAGCACCGTGTACAGCAGCATCAGCAGCTTCACCTTGCACTGAGTCTGAAAGGACACTGACAGACAAAAAGACATGGCTTAAGCTTTACAAATATAGAGAGTTTTATCATTTTATCCAGGGATAACTGACCCCATAAAAAAGATATTCCATCAGGCCCCACTACTTCATCGTTTGAAATCTTACCTTTAAGATTTGTTTGGCACAAGGAAGGAGCAGAAAAAACGTTTATTACAGATAGCTGGTAAAAGTTAAGCTGCTTTGATGAACTGTCGGCGTTAATAATACAGAAACATATGAAGAATACTAATGTTTTTGGAATTTAATTTCACATGGACTTTGCTCTCAGGTTAATTTCCAACACTCACAAACCTCAGAGTCTGATGTAATGACACATTGGTTAAATTTAATCAACTCTGTCTTTCCCTGACCTAAAAAGGATTATTCACGCCTTTGTCTTTTCACATTTGTACTATGGCAATGTTCTTTTAAAGCCTGGCTCACACTATGAGATTTTCCCCCGATTGTATAAAAGTCAGAGTGGCATGTCAGCTCACACTGTTCGACTGCATCGTTTACATGCCCGACCAGACCTTGCGATTTAAGTGCTCACACTGTACGACCTGATCGTCGGGCACGGCCAGAGAGTGAAATCGGGTCGGAGCGTTGACAATTGTTAATAAAGTTTAATTTGAAAACTCCAAAGGACGGCGGTCTGTGAAAGAGAAGGAAGTGGAAGTTGTTGTAGAATATAGGAAAGTAGACACAATCGTAGATATATGGATATAAGTTTCAGAAAAGTGCTGCACTGATGATCTGTACTGAAAAAAAAAGAAGAAAAAAACGCTGGGTTGCCGCTGGTCGCCATAACTGCAGTCCTCCCTTGTCTCTCGTGATTATATCGTAGTCGCACACAACTTCTGCCGGACCCTTTCATGACGTAATCATCAAGATTTTAGATTCTAAACTCCCCTTGGAGACATCTAAATACAAACTAAATCGGCCCTAATATGGAACCCTGTGGTACACCAGAGGTAATGTAAGTAGGGGGAGAAGAGTAATAATGTACGTTGACTGAGTTTGTTTGTTCTTAAAGGTAAGTATAAACAGATTTTGATCTAACTGTCTGTCGGCTCTCTCTCTGGAGGACTGGAGGTCATAGGAACTGTGACCTCTGTCAAACAGAAGGAGTTAAAAATAAACATCAGTCCTCTGCTCCATCGTCTCCACATGAAGCTGAATCACTGCTGAATGCAGACACCAACCCTTCATTACCTATTTCTGTTTGAGCAGTCACTGTGCCCCCCTGATGCTGCACTGAGCAGAGGTATTTATAAGGGTTGTACTTTCTCTGAGGGATCGTCAAGATGGAGGCGCTGCACCCCGACTCCCTCAGCTCCTGCTGCTTCACATCAGCAGGGTTCACATCCTCCAGAGGATCACTCCCTTTCTGTTTTTTCCAGGAGATCTGGACCAGAGGAGGAAACATGGCTGAGGCCACACACAGTAGAGAGCTCTTCTCCTCCAGCTGGGCTCTCGATGCTGCCGGGTACAAGCTCACAACGGGTTTCACCACCTGCTCATCTGAAGACACACACACACGCTGATCACTAAACTTGTTGAAAATGTTTTTTATACTGAGTCTCTAAAACAGTTGAGGTACAAGGGTTCTAAGGTTTTGGCCCGTGATTTCATTTTCTATTTTTGAAACTCACATAAAATAGAAATTAAAAAAAAAGAACAATCCATAAGTTTTTTTCATCAGATAACCAAATGAATGAAAAAATAATGAATCATTTCTAATTTACCTATTTCCCATTCTAGTATATTAGTCAAAACCTCACTAACCAAGATGAAGACATACCCGAGACCAAGTAAAGACCAAGCCCATAACTATCTCTCAATTAAAGGTACAAAAAAAAGCCCAAAAATAAATATATAAATTTTATTTTATTTTTTTAAATCATCTTGTGTGTCTCTTGATTCATAACACCGGGAAGGTTGCGTCCGTAACCGGGGGATAAAAATCAAATACAAATTAATTAAAGTTGTTTGTTCTTTTAGAAAGAGGCGTTTCCTTCTAATCACAGTAATGAAGTGGAAAAATAGCCGATCAGTGGTGGTCTTGATTTAAAATCCAGAGTCCACCCAGACTGAGATCGAGACAAGACCGAGTAAAAATGCTTTCAACCCAGAGACCTTCAAAAAGTGGTCTAAAAACCAAGATGGATATTGAGTACTACAACAATGATACACAGATTAACAGTAATTTCTAATCACTCTTTTAAATATAAATGAAACATATTGGAATATTTTATTCAGTATCTTCTTTTGTTAGAGTTTGATTTTAAATCGTCCTGGAAGTGTCAAATTAACCATCATGAATAATGCTATTCTTATTTTTTTACCATTTACAGATTATTAATTACGTAGCCCAAATGTTCAAAACGGTCGGATTAGATAGAATCCAAAGAACGTGTCGATCAAAAGAACAAAACAATGAAAGAAAATCTGATAAATTCAGGTGGTCATGTTTAGATTTAATCTGCATTAATCCTCCAGTTTGTGACTTTGAATGAGGATTGAGATGACTTTGATTAAAATAATGAGGATTATTCTGCAGCAGACGACGGATTACAGGAACTCAATTTGAGAAAACTTTTTTATTAGAGGGAGAAAAACTATCTTTTAAATAATTTTGGTTCCAGTTCTGACTCTTTCTTTCGTTTATATATTTTGCTTGTTAATTCTCTGCAGTGACAGGAGACGAAGATGACATTATGGATGAGGCAAAAACGACTGTCATGCAACTACACTTTGATTCACCTCTTTGTCAGTGATGAGTTGTTTCTGGATGTTTTTTCTCGAGATAACGAGTTAAATTCTTCACTAATTTCTTGAGAAAAAAGAAGGAATATCAACTTGTCATCACAGGAAATTAACTGTCATTCTCTCAAGATAAATAAGTGATAAGATAAATAAACAGAATGCCGTGTGTCCACCTAGTGCTGTCTGTGTGCTAGGGAGTGTTTGTATGAAGCGATGTGCTGCTGAGTAACTGAGAGAATCAAAATCTGTAGATCTGTAAAATGCACGATGATGCATATGCAGCGTGATTAAACCTTTTGAAGTAATTATGGATATTTTTAATGTAACAAGAGTTGCATAGCAGCAAGAACTGTTTACTGAAAATGAGAAATATACAGCATATATAAATACATATTTATATAAATATATATAAACTCTGAAGCTGCAGACATTAATGTAAAGAACTGAAGAAATGAATGATTATTCTTACCTGTGACAAACAGTTTAGTCCCAGAGCTGAAGATGTGTACTCCCACAGTGAAACAGACTGATACAAAAACCTGTCTGCTGCTGAAGGACTCCAGATTGTGAACCAGGATCATATTTCAGCCACATGATGAGTTTCTCTGAAGTCCACATCAACATGACTTTCTCTGATGTCTTTAGACACACTAGCAGAGTTTCTCTGTGGACATCAATGTCTGTCAGTCCAATCGTTTTGTCCACTTGGGTTTGAATGTTGCACAGACATTCTTGGTACTCAGAGGATTCACCTCGTTCATTCAGATCACTGCAAAGGTGTTTCACTGTAAATGACCCAATAACAGAGAGAACAGGTGATTATAACATGTTTAACTTTCATTATTAATGTTCAAAATCAAAAGTTTACCTTTTGTTATTTATACTTAACAGGTGAAGCAATTTAACCCAGACTTCTTCTCTCCAGCATTGTTTTCTTTCTCTCCTTTAAAGGTCACATATCCTCCTTCTCTTCAACCACTTTAAATAAGTCTCAGAGCTCCTCAAAACATGTGTGAGAAGTTTGAGCACACATTTTCTGAAAATCGGAGCAGGCAAAAGTTGAGTATTTCTTTTAGTCATACAAAATAAACACATTTTTAGTAACACCAATGTGTCTCCCTTTTTTCCTCAGTGCAGGCAAAAATATACTCATAGCAAAAACTAAAAGTAATTAACAACAAAAAGACCAATCAAAGAATTATCTTAAGGCAAATTGTTGCCCACAAAGGAAGTATTTTGTACAGGAGATAAAGAAAGTGTTTCCATGGCTTTGTTCAATCTCAGCGTTTAGCTATGCTGTGACATCATTAAAGATCGTCTTTTAAACTTGGTTCAGGAACAAAGACCACGCCTCAAACACAACCCATTTCCATTTCATACATACTTAAGCCTTCATCACTCCTATTCCTCTGACGCTGGTTTCACATCCCGCCCCAGGAACCACGAGGGTCCATACAGAGAGCAACAAAGAGACGACCCCCGACCCAGAGTCTCGACCCCTCTGGTCTCATCACATCGTTTCTACATCGGCTGACACCAGTCCATCGTCCTTCTTTCATTCACCTCCCGACCCTTACCCCCCTTCCACCCTCAAGGCCCTGACACACCAAGGAGACCGTCGTCGGTCTCTCTAGTTTTTTGTGAAGTGTGGCTCCATCGCTACATGTCGGCCCCCACCTGCCTTTTTTCAGACGATTCCACATGTTGAATCGGCGGTCGGTGAGAGGAATCTCTCTGATTGGCTGTTGGGAGGTTTCATTTCTCTCCAGCTCTCCTCTCAGGTTCAGGAAAGCCCCTTGAGCATGTCTCTGTAGTATCCATGCTTTCACCCATTAGTGAGCTTTCTCCTGATCTGTCTCCTCCGCCTCTTCTTTTCTGACAACGACAGCGCCATTTTCATCTTTTAAGGTGACGTGAGACGACGCCACAGGCGACCTTCGTCCCCACTAGTTCTTTGCCGTCTGCTTGGTGTGTCAGGGTCTTTACCTTCATCCATTCATCTATCCAACACTTCATGCATAATACAACAAACTATTCTAAATCAGTAACTTTCTTGGTGTGGTCTTTGTTCGTAAAGTGTGCATAAGTATAGAGACCAGCTGCACATCTATTTAACCTTTCTGATCTAGATTATGTTTTTAGATGGTTCTGGTCTTAATGATTTCTCTCTGCATCTCAGCTCATGTTCTTTCGTTTCTGTTTTCCTCCGCCTTTCTAACAATAACGATGTTATTCTAAAATGAAGGCGTCCCGTCAGCAGTGATAGAATAAATCCCTCAGTGTTTGTGACTCTGGCTGAGATGGAGGTGAAACATGTGAACCTGGGCTGTGGTTCACTGCTCTCTTCCTGTAACTAACTCTGAGTGACATCTGTTCATGTGTTGGTTTTTGTTCAGGCAGCTCGCTTCATTTCTCACTGTGGAGAGTACTACCACTAACCCAAACATAACAGGAGCAGTAATATGTGGCTGAATGAAAGTCTTTAACTCTCTTGATCTGCAGCTCCCAGCCGTTCTTTTTCACAGCTGAGAAATCATCTTTCTGTGGATGATTGTAGCGTTTATCTAAAGCTCCATTACTCTTGTCAATATCAAGAATCCCTCTGAATGTTTCAGTGTCTTTCTTTTGGTACCAGAATACGTAGTTATTGTAACACAGATTAGTTCCTCCACAGCTGAAGGAGACTTCTTCACCGACTCTCCTGGTCAATGATAAATCATCCTGAATAAGCTCGGCTGCCATGGAAACCAGCGCTGCAGAGAGAGGGTCAGACAGGTGAATGTTAGTGTGACGGTGTTTGGTAAAGGTAGAGTTTGTGGGCTCCTGATTGGCCGGAAACACTCACCTGAACACAGGCAGCACAGGGCGGCGGCTGGGAGGAGAAGCATTTTGGAGCTGCGATGTTTCCTCTGGTGAACCCGAGGAGAAGTGACGCTGTGACGCTGCAGAGGACAAACAAGGACGAGCTGAGAGATCAGACGAGGAACACGTGGTTTCTATCAGAGGCCTCAGATCTCCCATCAGCCCCTGATTCTATTCAAAGTTCTGAAAGTCTGCAGGAAGTTAAAAATCTGAATATTTATATAACTTTTTTTATTGCATAATTTGAAACTCTTTTATTTACCTCTGCAGGTGTTTTTTGTAACTTAATTATATATAGATGTTTAATGTCTGTTCTTATTTCTGCTGCTGATGTAAAAGAAGGAGACAAACAGCATGTCTTTGCTCATTTCATGAATTCAGAAAATGTATTTTCAAACTTCTTCAAAAGGAATAACTCTGTTTGCACTGATGAAGTCTGTTTTCATACCTTCAACATTTCTTTAAGAGGTCTTTTTCTTCACTTTGATGTTTCTTATGATGAAAACTTTAAAATATTAACAACAAAAGACACATCTGATATAACATGAGTCTTTAAAGTGTTACCTCAGTGTCACATCTTTAAATAAACTCCTCCTTCATGACTGTTTGTTGGATTTCAAACATGTTTTTTCAGAAGGTGGATCTCTGTCTGTCTGTGTCTAACTTAAAGGAGAAAGAGCACCACCTTATGGTCAGTTTGGGGAACTGCAAAGGTACCCTGATGATGCTGGTAGTGGTATTCAGGACAAGGGGAAACCTCTGGTGTTGAAAAATAAAGCAATCCTGCAGTTCCTCGAGGGTCTGCTTGAGGCTGGAAGTCACATACACACCCATTCAAAAGTCTGTTTTTACAGCAGAGATTAACATGTTTACAGTCTGGTTCATGTCTCTATCAGCTGTTACTGGACGGGGGAATTTTATTTATGTTTAGACATGTATTAGTGCTGTCAGCATTAACTACTTCATTGTGATTAATCTCATGTTATTTTGTCCCTTCAGGCTCTCCGTAGATAGTGGTCCTCAGTGTCTCCCTGTAGTCTCAGTGATGTAAAAGAAGAACACTGCTGCATCTTTGAATGTCTCATTTCACTTTAACAAACTCTCAGACAGTAAAATCCACCTGATGACATCACACACTGACCTTATGACATCACACATTGACCTCATGACATCACACATTGACCTCATGACATCACACATTGACCTCATGACATCACACATTGACCTGATGACATCACACATTGACCTGATGACATCACACATTGACCTTTGTTACCATTCCTTTGAGCTGGTTGACATCAGCTTAAGAAAGGATAAACATTCAAAATAAAGGCCTAACAGGTTTTTATTGTTAATGTGAAATAATGGAATTTCAAACATGTGATTAAAAATGTGATCAATCGTTATTTATTATTATTGAAATCAAGCGATTAATCACAATTAAAAAATATATATATTGTAAAAGCGATTGATTGTTAAATTTAAATACTTATGTTTGTGAGTGTCTGTGTGTGTGTGTGTGTGTGTGTGTGTGTGTGTGTGTGTGTGTGTGTGTGTGTGTGTTGCTGTGTGTGTGTGTGTGTGTGTGTGTTTGTCTGTGTGTGAGTGTGTGTGTGTGTGTGTGTGTTTGTCTGTGTGTGTGTGTGTGTGTTTGTCTGTGTGTTTGTCTGTGTGTGAGTGTGTGTGTGTGTGTGTTTGTCTGTGTGTGTGTGTGTGTGTGTGTGTGTGTGTGTGTGTGTGTGTGTGTGTGTTTGTCTGTGTGTGAGTGTGAGTGTGAGTGTGAGTGTGTGTGTGTGTGTGTGTGTGTGTGTGTGTGTGTTTGTGTGTGTGTGTGTGTGTGTGTGTGTGTGTGTGTGTGTGTGTGTGTGTGTGTTTGTCTGTGTGTGTGTGTGAGTGTGTGTGTTTGTCTGTGTGTGAGTGAGTGTGTGTGTTTGTGTCTGTGTGATTGTGTGTGTGTGTGTGTGAGTGAGTATGTGTGTGTGTGTTTATGTGTTTGTGTGTGTGTGTGTTTGTCTGTGTGTGTGTGTGTGTGTGTGCGCGTGTGTGTGTGTTTGTCTGTTTGTGAGTGTGTGTGTGTGTGTGTGTGTGTGTGTGTGTGTGTGTGTGTGTGTGTGTGTGTGTGTGTGTGTGTGTGTGTGTGTTTTAAACGAGTCAAATGTAAAATGATTCAGTAACTATAAAAGATCCGGATCGTTTTGCTGTTTCGAGCCAAAAGATCCGAATCACTAAAAAGAGCTGAAACTCCCATCTCCACAACAGACTGTCGCTGCGCCGCGTTGCATGCCGGTAAATGTAGTACTACCTTCGTCATCTGTCCCGACGTTACTCCTTTAACAAACCGTTTTGTCTGAACCTAAGTGTTTCCTCTCTGGTTGTTACGTGATGTTGAAAAGCGTAACCGCGGAAAGGTTCGAGAATTTACTCCTCGTGTGTGAATATTTAAAATGGAATGACGACGCACAACTACAAGTACCACGTTCCCTACGTCATTACGTAGTGATGTACGTCAACGGTCAGTCGCCAGAGAGAAAAAACAGCCGCTTCCGTGTTGTTCTTGTGTTATTGTCGGTTAGCGGAGTCTGACAGCCTCCCCGGAGCCCGTTTATCATGATCCTGTGAAGCTGACTCACACTTTCAGCTTCCTTTGAGCCGACATGTCGCTGCTGCAGAGCTCCAAGAAGAAAGACAAGCGGATTCTGTCCGGTACCTGCCCGGACCCGAAATGTCAGGCGAGGCTCTTCTTCCCCGCTCACGGCTCCGTTAGCATCGAGTGCACGGAGTGTGGTCAGCGACACGAACAGAAGAACCTGTTAAATGTGGAGGAAGTGACCGACCCAGATGTGGTTCTTCACAATCTGCTCAGGAACGCCCTGCTCGGCGTCACCGGGGCCCCGAAGAAAGGCACGGAGCTGGTGAAGGTGATGGGTCTGTCCAACTACCACTGCAAGCTGCTGTCCCCGGTCCTCACCCGGTACGGGATGGATAAACAAACCGGGAAAGCCAAGCTGCTGCGGGAGATGAACCAGGGGGAGATGTTCGACTGCTCTCTCCTCGGGGACAGAGCCTTCCTCATCGAGCCGGACCATGTCTCCACCATGGGGTACGGGAAGGACCGGTCCGGGAGCCTCATCTACCTCCACGACACCCTGGAGGAGGTGAAGAAAGCCAACAGCAACAGGGAGTGCCTGATCCCGGTGCACGTGGACGGGGACGGGCACTGCCTGGTCCACGCCGTGTCCAGAGCGCTGGTGGGCAGAGAACTGTTCTGGCACGCCCTGAGAGAAAACCTGAAGCAGAACTTCAAGCAGAACCTGGACCGCTACAAGGCCCTCTTTCAGGATTTTATCGACGCGGCCGAGTGGGAGGACATCATCAACGAGTGCGACCCGCTTTTCGTCCCGCCTGAAGGCGTGCCGCTCGGGCTGCGCAACATCCACATCTTCGGTTTGGCCAACGTCCTCCACCGACCCATCGTCCTGCTGGACTCGCTGAGCGGGATGAGGAGCTCCGGCGACTACTCGGCCACCTTCCTGCCGGGGCTGGTGGCCGAGGAGCAGTGCAGGGGGAAAGACGGGAAGCTCAACAAGCCCATCTGCATCGCCTGGAGCAGCTCGGGCAGGAACCACTACATCCCCCTGGTGGGCATCAAGAACAGCGTGCTGCCCAAGCTGCCCGCCCGCCTGCTGCCGAAGGCGTGGGGAATCCCTCAGGAGCTCATCAGGAAGTACATCAAGCTGGAGCCCGACGGGAGCTGCGTGATCGGCGGCGACCGCAGCCTGCAAGACAAATACCTGATGCGGCTGGTCAACGCCATGGAGGAGGTGTTCATGGAGAAGCACAGCATCCACCCGTCGCTGGTGGCCGACGTGCACCAGTACGTGTACAGGCGGACCGGCGTGATCGGCATCCAGCCCGAGGAGGTGACGGAGGCGGCGAAGAAGTCGGTGGTGGAGAACCGGCTGCACCGCTGCCTGATCTGCGGCGCGCTCTCCGAGCTCCACGTCCCCCCCGAGTGGCTGGTTCCCGGCGGGAAGCTCTACAACCTCGCCAAGTCCACCCACGGCCAGCTGCGGCCCGACAAGAACTACAGCTTCCCCCTCAACAACGTGGTGTGCTCCTACGACCCCCAGAGGGACGTCCTCGTGCCCGATTACAAACTGAGCTCCCTCAACACCTGCAACTGGTGTCACGGCACCTCGGTGCGCCATATCCACGGCAACGGGTCGGTGGTGTACCTGGACGGGGACAGAACCAACACCCGCTCCCAGGGCGGGAAGTGCGGCTGCGGCTTTAAGCACTACTGGGAGGAGAAGGAGTACGACAACCTCCCCGAGGCCTTCCCCATCACGCTGGAGTGGGGGGGTCGGGTGGTCAGAGAAACCGTGTACTGGTTCCAGTACGAGGGCGACGCCGCTCTCAACAGCAACGTGTACGACGTGGCCATGAAGCTGGTCACCAAACACTTCCCGGGCGAGTTCGGCAGCGAGATCCTGGTGCAGAAAGTCGTCAACACCATCCTGCACCACACGGCCAAGAAGAACCCGGATGAGTACAACCCGGTGTCCATCGACGGGGCTCACGTCCAGCGGCTCACCGACGCCATGGAGACCCCGCAGGCGGCCGACCCCCAGCCGCCCACCAAGATCATCCTGACGGGTCAGAAAGCGAAGACGATCCACAAGGAGGAGCTGACGATGAGCCGGGCTGAGCGCAGCATCCAGCAGAGCGTCAGCGAGCAGGCTCTCGTCTCTCAGAAGAGACGGACGGACAAACTGAAGCAGGAGCAGACGCCGCGCGGCCGGACCACCTCCCCGAGCGGCTCGCCGGAAACCTCCTCCTCGTCCGCTCCCGCCACACCCACCAAATCCTCGTCCCCTTCGTCATCCAGCAAGGAGAAGAAGATCCGCGTGACCACCAGCGACGGCAGGCAGGCCATGCTGACCCTGCAGGCGCACACCACCTTCTCGGAGCTGCAGGGAAGCATCGCCAACCAGTTCGGCGTGCCGCCGCCGCAGCAGTGCATCCGCTACGGCTTCCCGCCCAAAGAGCTGTCCCCACCGAAGGATGGCGAGGAGAACGAGCCGGTGGCGCTGCAGCACGGCGACAGGGTGACCGTGGAGATACTGAGGGGCCCCGAGGACCACAAGAGCCCCGCCTCCTCCATACCCCGGGCCTCCAGCTCGCACTCTGTGAAGAGCGAGGACGCCGGCAGGATGAGCGCCCGGGAGCTTCAGGACGGCATCGACCTTGAGATGTCCTCCCTCTGTCTCCTCGCGACCTTGATGGGTAAGAATGAAAGAGTGACATGCAGGCGGTCTCCCCCCTGTCCCCCCTTCTGTCCCCCCTCTGAGTGTCCCTCCCTTCTCCCCCTTTTCTCCCCCTTCCTCCTCAAACATTTTCTACAAACACACAAAGTTGAGTTCTGTAAAGAGAAGATAAAGCCCGAGACAAACTGAAGTTATCTGACCCGCTGAGGCTGCAGCGACTGATTCTGTCCATTATTGATTCTTTTTTTTTTTCTAATCAGAGAAACATGTCAACAGAAAAAGAGTCACGAGAGAAAAATGTAAACATCAGCGTTTAAATAAATGTGGCCCTTGCTGTGACCTAAGTTGCCCTTCCCTGTGGGACGAGGTGAGGTCCTACTCATTAAATCCCACGTGGCTTTACGAGTCACTTCATGTCCTTTAAACTACGACAACAAAACTAGAAGTTCTAAGCACCAAATGTTTTCATCGCTTTTTGATGCACAAAATGCTTGATGCTCGTTTGAAACCATAACGACGACGTTCACTCAAAGCGTAGGAACTCTTCAATACTATCGGTCGTTAAAATAACACGCGTCGCTTTAAATATCGAGTATGAGAGGTGTCACAACCAGCGAGCAGCAGTTTGTTTACAGTTTTGGATCATTACTATTGGGTGTCTAGGACTTCTAGTTTTGTTGCCATGGTATCGAAGCAGACATCAAAACTGTTTGATTTTTACTTTAAAAATCATTTTTGGGCTTTTATTGTAGAGACAGGATGTGGATAGAGTGAGAAATTAAGGGAAAGAAGCCACAGGCCGGATTTGACCCCGGGTCGCCTCTGTACAAACGCACAAAATAGCCACTAGGCCACCGGCGCCGAGTCATATCTGAGTTTGACATTCTTGGCAGACAGGTGAATAACAACAACAGGTATCAGGGCGTCTGATCCAGCTCGCTGCTCGCAGGCCACGCTCGTGAGTCATGATGCTGTGTGTGTGTGTGTGTGTGTGTGTGTGTGTGTGTGTGTGTGTGTGTGTGTGTGTGTGTGTGTGTGTGTGTGTGTGTGTGTGTGTGTGTGTGTGTGTGTGTGTGTGTGTGTGTGTGTGTGTGTGTGTGTGTGTGTGTGTGTGTGTGTGTGTGTGTGTGTGTGTGTGTGTGTGTGTGTGTGTCGGCTTGTGTGTGTGTGTGTGTGTGTGTCGGCTTGTGTGTGTGTGTGTGTGTGTCGGCTTGCTTGTGTGTGTGTGTTTGTGTCGGCTTGTGTGTGTGTTGTGTGTGGTGTGTGTGTTTGTGTCAGCGTGTGTGTTGTGTGTGTGTGTTGATGTGTGTGTGTGTGTTGATGTGTGTGTGTGTGCTGACTCAGGCATTTCGACCCCTCCCCGTCTCACCTGCCAATAAAGTCAAAGTTCAGATAAACAGCCAACAGACGTTCAGGAAGCCGGTTCAATACTGCTAAACATCTGCACGCCACGCTGACAGCTAAACATCTGCACGCCACGCTGACAGCTAAACATCTGCACGCCACGCTGACAGCTAAACATCTGCACGCCACGCTGACAGCTAAACATCTGCACGCCACGCTGACAGCTAAACATCTGCACGCCACGCTGACAGCTAAACATCTGCACGTCACGCTGACAGCTAAACATCTGCACGCCACGCTGACAGCTAAACATCTGCACGCCACGCTGACAGCTAAACATCTGCACGTTACGCTGACAGCTAAACATCTGCACGTCACGCTGACAGCTAAACATCTGCACGTTACGCTGACAGCTAAACATCTGCACGTTACGCTGACAGCTAAACATCTGCACGTTACGCTGACAGCTAAACATCTGCACGTTACGCTGACAGCTAAACATCTGCACGCCACGCTGACAGTCTGTACAGCTTCAAAACTAAACATCTGCACGCCACGCTGACAACTAAACATCTGCACGCCACGCTGACGGTCTGTACTGCTTCAAAACCAAACATCTGCATGCCACGCTGACAACTAAACATCTGCACGCCACGCTGACGGTCTGTACTGCTTCAAAACTAAACATCTGCACGCCACGCTGACAGCTAAACATCTGCACGCCACGCTGACAGCTAAACATCTGCACGCCACGCTGACAGTCTGAACAGAGCACTGGTGGTCTTTGTTTTTAAAAAAGGTGTCAAATCTTTGCTCTAAAGCCGTCGACCTGTTTGAGCGCTCCTGTCGCTGCTCTCTGGTCGGTTAATTCTCTCTCTCTCTCTCCTCCTGTGTTTTCAGGTGAGGACGTCTGGTCGTACGCAAGGAAGCTGCCGCACTTATTCCAGCAGGGCGGGGTCTTCTACAACATCGTTAAGAAAGACATGGGTACGTTTGTTTTCACCTGCTTCACCGTGTTTGTAATAAGGTTCCATTTTAACGGGACGTTGAATGTTTCCGCTGATTTACAGACGTCTCTTTCAAAATGGCGTCACGTGATGCTGCAATACCACGTTTGGCCACCAGGTAAGAGATAGGCTTCAACGGACACTGCACTTCCTCAGGGATTGTGCGCTACTTTGGCTTCCCTGCAGGTCCTCATGAAGTCCTTAAAGTTGAAAAAGAAAATGCTAATCTTGTCGAGGCGGTAGTGGTGGGCGATATAACGATCTTAGATCGTGAAGGATTTTAACGTGCTGACGATCTGCCAAAGCAGAGAGATCGTATAACCGGGCTAATGTGTTTATTCTCTCATGCTGCAGTTTATGCTGCGACACAGACGCGTCTCCCTTCCCCTTCTGCTCCGCCGCGGTGAAAAGGAAACTTAAAAGTAAAGTCCGCAAAAACAACTCCATCCAGGTTATATGCAAATGGTCTGATATGTTTCCAAACCGCCACGGCGTGATCAACAGTTAACTTATCTGCATAGTGTGCACAGTTAAGATTACATCTCAGATAGCGACACAACAAACCGTTTAAGGAGCCGGAGAGACGTTAACAGTCTGCAGAGAGTCAGACAGAGAGGAGCTCAGACAGACAGTGAGGGGAGATATAACCCCGGTGTTTCAAATGTTGCTGTCGGTGTTTTCCGCTCTCTCTCAGTTTTTAAAAGTTACTTATCAAGCTTCTCCACCTGAAGCTCACCTGTTGTGAATTTATAGGGATTACACTAAACGATGCTACAGGTTGTGTGTAGCAGGCAGGTGAGAGTGAGTAACCATGGTGACTGCCTGTCTGTCAATCAACAATGTCCCGCCCCCTCTATGAATTCAACTCTTCGGTCAGTAAAACTTACTTTGATCATGTGTCACAGAATGAACACATTCTGTATTATGTTTGATTATATATAAACTAAACTAAAGTTAGTCCAATGATGTCATAAAAACAACAAAGTCTGCAGAGCCTGTATGAAGCTCCAGCTGGAGGAACTCTGCAGGGCTAAAACAGAACAGAAACACAAGAACTGGAAGTCTACATGTTTTTAAATGAATGCATCACTGTGTGAAAATGTTCCTGATGAACATAAAAAGAGGACACATAACTAAATCATCATTTCAAAGTGGTGAGGAAAACCTTCAAATTGTTCATAAATATTGATCAAACTGAGGGAAAGACATTTCTGTTGCTAAAGATGTTCTGGGTGATGTTCTGGGGAAATAAGTTTGGTTGAACTGGTCAGTAACTTACAAAATTGTCTCGCTGCCGAACTCGCCCGGGAAAAAGATCAGTATGAAAAAAATCGGGATAAAATCGTGATCATGATTTTGCCCAAAAAAATCGTGATATGATATTTTTCCCATATCGCCCACCTCTACGAGGCGGTCGCCAAGACTGACACGTGTTCTGCCGTGGTCAGAAAGATGTAAATCAGTCGTGTTTTTTAAAAAACAATATTCGATTCAGCACTTTATATACATGCACCAACTGAAACGGGTTGAAATGACCTAACACGAGTCTCTGATGTGTTTCAGGTCTGATGGACGGGAAGCACTGCACGCTGCCTCACCTGACGGGGAAAACGTTTGTGTACAACGCCACAGAGGAGCGGCTGGAGCTCTGTGTGGACGCCGCCGGTCACTTCCCCGTCGGCCCCGATGTGGAGGAGCTGGTGAAGGAGGCGGTGGTCCAGCTGCGCTCTGAGACAGCCTCCAGGGGCAGCAGAGAGGGCAGCCCCTCCCGGCCTGCTGCGCCTGGGCAGCGGCGGCGTGGTCAGGAAGAAGGAGCAGCTGCAGAGCGTCACCGCCTTCCAGGGTAAAGGTCACTCTCTGGGCAGCGCCGGCGGCTCCTCCCCTCCGGAGCACCGGCCTATCACGCGTCAGCACAGCAGCGGCGTGGACCTGAGCGCCAGTGTGTCCCGAGGCCCCCCGGACCTGTCGGAAATCCCCGAGGACGCCACCGGGAGCTGGTGCGCATGGCGCCGGGCTTCGTCACGATGAAGGACGGACGCGGCCTGGACCCGAGCCTGATGGAGCAGCAGAGGAAGAAGCTGCAGGAGATGGTCTCCTCCATCCAGGCCTCCATGGAGCGCCACCTCAGAGAGCAGCAGAGCACCACCGCCGCAGGGGGCGGGGCCAGCCAGGAGCGGACAGGCGGGACTAAGACGGGCGTGAGCCAAACGACCGCCCACGACGCTCCGGCTGCAGCGGGAGGGAAAACAGATGGGAAGGTGGAGGAGCCAGAGGAGATGGAGAGTCAGGACGCCGCACAGAGCAACGCCTTCGAACCCATGGACCACTCCTGATCCCTCCTGACCCCTAAGCCCCGCCCTCCGCCCCTTCCTCTCGCCTCGCCTCACCCGGGGTCACAGCGGCTCAGGAGGGATCCTCAAGCTTTCGGTCTTCATGGTGTTTGGTTGTCGTCATGCATGACTTCAGAGCGCCCGCAGCAGCTCTCTGCAGGGCGTCAGGAGGGGGCGGGGTCAGGTGGCACGTCCTCTGCGATACATCATTAAAAAAAAAAAACTCCTGAGGCCGCCGCTGCCGCGCGTGTGTTTGACACTCTTTGCACTTTTGGTACACACTCTGTAACCCTCACTACATTTGTTTGATCGCTGCTTTGACAGAAATATTTTTTGCCTTTTAGGATAAAAATCGTTCTCCTCGCGTGATGATGTTTCGTAAACAGGCCGTCTCCGCGGCGACGGGATCCGATCTTTAACCCCCCTGCGAGTCCCACCTGAAGACGTCCAGCTCAGGATGCGGGAGACTCATTCCTGTAGATAGAAGAAATCCTCCGAGTCTTAAATCTGCCAACGGGGGGACGAGGAGAGCTTGCTGGACGCCCGGCAGCGTGAACATGCTTCTGCGGAGGGCGCCACGCCTCTCTGTACGCATCAACACCTTCATCTACGCCCAGAATATCTGCTTCTCCACCTGCGGAGCGCCGAGTGAACTCTGGATCTCAAAAAGCACTTTTCATAAACCATCAATTAGTTTCTCTACATTCAGTGTGTCAGCGGCGCCCCCTGCAGGCGAGGAGAGAAACTGCAGAGCTCGACAGTTTAATTTGAGGTTTTTAGGTTTATCATTTGTCTGACCTTTGACCTTTGCAGAGTGAATTTTACCTCTTTGTGTGAGATTGTCTGCAGGACAATGATTTGTGTTCATTCATGTTTGCAGTAAAAAAGAAAAAAAAAAAGTTCCTTCCTCGTGAAACGAAATGATTTATTTCACCTCTTTTTGTTTTTTTAGCCGGGGACAAATGTCTAAAAAAAGGTGCAAAAAGTTGCGTCAGGATGCAACTGTAGCTTTCTTCATACTGCAGCGTCTGCAACATGATCCTCCAGAGAGTCAAAGTGCGTCCACTCAAAGTCGTTGTTTTTGTCCCTGAGAGGCTCCGGTTGTTTTTTGACATGACAGAAAAGAATCCTTACAGAGACAGCTGTGACATCACTCGGCATTGCTGCTCTTCCTCCGCCCTGATTGGTTGCTTTCTTTTCTGTTTTGTGTGATTGGGGGTTTTAAACTTCCACCCTGGATCTGAAGCCGTTTCTGCATCGCACAAACAAACAAGTTGACAGATTCTGAACGAGGCAGAGCGGCACTTCCTGTGATTGTAAAATGACATTTTCTCCTGCAGAGAAATCTTAATTCGTTAAGAAGTCAGAAATCTCTTCAGTTTAACAAACGTCTGTTCTCTCCGTCGCTCGCAGACACTAAATTCAGAGTCAGACGACCTTCAGCTCGGCTTTGATGGAGACAAAATGTTCAAACTATACAGATCTAAAACAGTGCACCAACAAAAGTCTTCCCCCACGCCTCCGTGTTTCTCTTTGAATGTTTGGGAGCTGCAGGAGGAACTCGACGTAGCGCCCGGCCTTAAAATCTGTAATATCAAACAAACTTTTTTTTTATGTTTCTTTGACCTAAAACATTTATGTTGGACTTTAATCCAGAGCCCGGGGGTTCAAAAGGAAGGTGGTCACATGTAAGCGTTGGATTGGATCGAATGTGACCAGCTTAAACAAGGAGCGCTCCTTGTTTAAAGCTGGCGCTCAGAAAAAATAACAGCAGGTGGACACGGCGCCCTATGGAAGTCATCTTTGGGCTTTTGTTCAATATCAAACGTTAAGCATTTAATTTAAAGCAGCTGTGAGGAGCTTTCTGGTGTCGGTGGGTTTTGGCGCCCCCATGTGGACAAAGTATGTAACAAAGTCCTCAACTGGAGTCTCTGGTGAACTGGACTCGGGGGTCTTTAAAGGTTGATTTAATCCATTTTCTCTTAAAGGACTTAAAACATTTGCATCCTACACACTGTTCGATCTGGTCTGTCGTCGAGGTGACGCACGAATGAAGAGGGAATGTTAGCTTTAGCATGCTCTTGTTAGCGTCATCGTCTGTCAGAGAGAGCTCGGACCAATCAGAAGGAAGACATTTGTT